TGAGCCGTTTATTTTGAAAGTGGCATAAGTCACTTTGTTTTTAAGTCGACATATTTAAGGGTTTGCGTTTTAACACGTTTAAAAATATGGATGCTAACTTTCGAGAAGATTCACTTGTATTTGTTATCTCAGGATACTGATATTTTTCTCAGTATAAATAATTTCGTATAAACATTAAAAAATCACCACTTTTCATTACGGTAAAGTGACTTATGCCACCTTCAAAATAAAGGGCTCATATATATAAGTGCATTATTAGATTTTGTGCATTATTAACAAACTATCCGAAATCCGAATACAAATATGGTACGACTTGAAATCATTACTGTTTGTGAAGAACGACCGAAAGTTCAATCAGTCGGGAATTTAGGTTTCCAGTGGCATCGCGCGCGCGGAGCCTATCAAACTGTTACGCTGTAACATTTAATTGTGATGAAACTGCCGATTGGCGTCGCGTTCATTGTACTTTCGCCCGCTTTCACTCTCTCGCGGCTTGTGCCGCGGCCGCGTACGGCAGCGTTCCACACGTGTGTGTGTTTCTCTTCCCGTTTTTGTAGGTTTTGTTATCTGCCGTGCTTCCGGCGAGTGACGACGCCGCCTCGTTAGCGGTATCGTTAGCATTAATCAAGCGGCCGATATTTACGTAAAACGAATCTATTGCGATTCGACGGATTCGCGCGGGCGCGCGCGCGCGTCGGGAAATCGGAGGAACAAGATCGGAAAGTGTTCCTCCGAGAGCTTGCTCGCGTATCGATTTCTAATTCAAGGTTAATTAGCTGGGTTACAGTGCCGTGGCTCTTTAATATTTATGCGCGAGATCTCGAGCTGCTGTCTTTGATCATCCAGCAGGAAAGTTCGAGAGACGCGGGTACGTGTAAATGCCGAGTGCAGAAAACACCGATAAGAATTATGGGTCCAGTGGAACCCGTTCTATTATACCGACGTTCATGTCCAATGTAATTGACTCGCATAAAGGAGGTTCTAATGCTGAGAAGTAGTAAACAGACCGTGGATATTTATATTGCAAAATGAAAAAATAAGTCTGTCGCGACTAACAAAAGATACTAAGGGTGTGGCACGATTTTCCAGCCACTTTCGACAGTCCCACGAAAAAAATATATCGACTTAATCGGTATTTAGTCGGCATATTGAAATATAATCGTTGTTTTTCCAATTAAAAATCAAGGTCACCTTGACTTTTTTAAATGGCACCTTGTATTTTGGACCTCGTAGGGTTATTGCTGATGAAAAAAAACGAATTCGACGACCTGCTATACTGTGACCTTCAGATGACCAACAAATCCTGTACAATGTTAACATACAGGGTGTCCCAAAATTATGTTAATTCCGGAAAATGAGGGGTTCCTGAGGATATTTGAAGTAACTTTTTCCTTAGCGAAAATGCAATCCGCGGCTTTGTTCACGAGTTATTAGTGAAAGACGCTGACCAATAGGAGGCGAGCTCGGCTGGCGCAAGGCGGCCGAACCAACGAGCGTTTATTGGCCACTGTTTTTCGTTAATAATTCGTTAACGATTCTACAAAGAAAATTTTTGTAAAGGAAAAAGTTACTACTACCACAGGAACCACTCATTTCCGGAAGTAACATAATTTTAGGACACCCTGTATGTCCGGGTAATGTGTATAGAATGCCGAGGTCTGGAACGTGGCCGTTTTTGGTCAAAAGCTGAATGCATCAGCAAGACATTTTGACCTCATGACTGATTTAATTTACGTTTGCTTTATAATATGTATTTAAGTTGAAAAATGTGTCCACTCAAGTTCAAAAAACTGTGGAACCGGAGAATGCGACCAGTTTTTAACGAAATGTATATATATTTTATGATTTTTATGCCCGCATACGTTT